CGTCTTTCGGCTGAAACGATTTAACTTACGTCATTGAAACGAGAGTCATATTGTATCAGAATTTCGTTGCCCTATAATCTGGAATTTATAATTAACCGACTGTTTTTAGATGGCAAAAGTATACAGACGGCGAGGCACCAGAGAGAGACAAGTTGCCTGGCGAGTGGAAGAACAAGACTCCCTTACAACGCCTTTGTATCATGCGGGCGCTGCGCCCCGACCGCATGTCATATGCCTCGAGGTAAATTACATTGATTAATTGAATATTAAAAGGTACAGGACAAAATCAGTTAACTGCCTCGCGTAAAAACCCACGTCACGGTATTGTCCGGACTAATTATTTATTACCTTTTTGAACTCGATAAACTTTTGGATTTTGAATCGCAATACAGTCTGTCTGAAGATTTCCAGTTAATTTATTGTTCTCTGTCAGTCTTACATAAAAAGTTATGGAATTTGCACACTATATGACCCACTTTTCACTACATTTGATGGTAGATATTTTAATGCCTACTGTAATCAATGCAACATTATTTAGTACGTTCTGCGAAGAGAATCTTGGCACGAAGTACGTTGAAGCACGAACTCCTCCGCTTGAGATATCGTACAAGGAAAGCACCTCCACCACTCCGATGTTCTTTATCCTGTCTCCGGGAGTCGATCCTCTAAAGGTAGACTGTAGTTTTTGATAGATGTAGAGTAGATTATGGAGATCGTATGTAGAGTAGTTAGTTAAATCTTTTTTAAGTAAGTTATTTTAGTTAATTGCTCGTCAAATGTCATTAATCTGGTTTTACAAGGATTACATAGTAGGTAACTTATGTTTAGCAAATGCACCAACGTATACATTTTATTTCGTTTTTTAAATATTAGAATACCTACACATTTTCGACATTATTAACCTCATCCTTACTTTGAGAAACGTATTAACACAAGATCGCTGATAATGTAATGTCAAATCACGCAACCAACACACACGTTACACATTACACGAGTCGAAGAGCGCCTTAAAGACTTGACTTTTAATTCCAAACACAAACGCTTAATATTTTCAGGATCTAGAGAAGTTGGGTCGCAAATTAGGCTTTTCTACCGATAAGAAGAATTTCCACATAGTGTCTCTGGGTCAAGGCCAAGAAGTAGTAGCCGAGGAGGCGATGGGAGTAGCCTCCGTGAACGGACACTGGGTTATCCTGCAGAATATCCATTTAGTAGCCAAGTGGCTTGCTACGCTTGAGAAGAAAATGGAGGAGACATTTGAGAACCCGTTGCCCGAATACAGGTAGATAAGTAACCGATCGTGACGTATAAATAAATTGTAAAGGGTATTTAATTATAGACAAATACATGACAATGGCTATTCTTAACAGGTTATATTTGAGCGCTGAGCCAGCGGCATCAGCAGCATATCATATTATCCCACAAGGTATTCTAGAGTCTGCCATCAAAATCACCAACGAGCCGCCCATTGGGATGTGGGCTAATTTGCACAAGGTGAGTGACATCAAGCAAAAATACAGTAACATTAAGTCGGCCAAAGCAGTGATGATTATTATTGAAATTTACTGTGAAAACAGATGGTGGTCTTCTAAATTTATTTTGACTTTCAGTCTCTAGATAACTTCAGTCAGGAAACCCTTGAGATGTGCAGCAAGGAAGCAGAATTTAAGTCAATTCTCTTTGCACTTTGCTATTTCCACGCTGTAGTGGCTGAAAGACGCAAATTCGGCCCACAAGGCTGGAACAGGTAACGCCAATGAGATTACCTAATAAGATTTTTTACAAGAAAATTGCTAACTGAATGTCTAATTGCTTTTATTCCTTTCGTGAACAGAGTGTATCCATTCAACTTTGGTGACCTTACCATCTGCGTGTACGTTCTGTACAATTACCTAGAGGCAAACCCAAGAGTGCCATGGGAGGATTTGCGTTACCTTTTCGGAGAGATCATGTACGGTGGCCACATCACCGACGACTGGGATCGACGTCTGTGTCGCACCTTCTTATTGGAGTACATGCAGCCAGAGCTGGTAATAACCATGTGAATTACAAAAAATAAGTAAATAAACGTTATTTAATCAATGGTTAATATTACACTTGATTTCAAGGTTGACGGAGAAAATCAACTAGCACCAGGCTTCATCTCGCCTCCGAATTCTGACTACGTTGGCTACCACGCTTATATTGACGACTACCTGCCTGACGAAACGCCCTACTTGTATGGGTTGCATCCTAATGCTGAGATTGGATACTTGACCACCGTATCTGAGCGACTTTTCAAGGTATGATCCTCGTAACTCTAAGAATGAAGGACATGAATCTGATGCATTATATCTAAGCTTGAAATAATCTTTTATAGGTCGTATTTGAAATGCAACCACGTGACGCCGGTGCTCAGGCTGGTGGTGGTGCTACAAAGGAAGAACTGGTAAAATGCCTTAAATATTTTCTAAACAGTTTTGTAAATTATTCTTTATTATTTGAGCAACTGCATTGTTTGTTTTTAGGTGCGATACATTCTAGATGATATCTTGGATAGGGTGCCAGAACCATTCAATCTTCAAGAGCTGATGGGCAAAGTGGAGGAATTGACTCCATACACCATTGTGGCACTGCAGGAATGCGAGCGTATGAACCGTCTCATGGGTGAAATACGCAGATCGTTGAAGGAGTTGGAACTCGGACTCAAGGTGGGATAAGCTTTGCTTCTTCATATTAGCTTCGTTGAAACATCAGAAATTTTGTTACTCTTTTACGCAAAACTGCCGTACTAAGTTGTCACTGTCCTTGCTTGCTGATATTTTTTGTTTGGTCTAACGTTTTCGTTTTACAGCTGTCTATAATGCTTAATATTCCTATGATAATATTGAAATAAAACTTAACTGTAAAAGTTTGGGTTTGCTTCATAATATTCCAGGGTGAGCTGACGATCAGCAGCGACATGGAGAAGTTGATGGAGTCTTTATTTATGGACAATGTGCCGGATTCATGGACGAAGCTGGCTTACCCCAGTCTCTTGGGTCTGGCTGCTTGGTTCTCTGATCTCTGTCTCCGGTTGACCGAGCTCGAGAACTGGTCTGGAGATTTCAATGTATGTTCTCCTTCAATTTACTTTCATAAAAGTTTTTATTGCTAAGCTTTATGATATTTCAGTCGAATGTGACTGTAAGCATTGGCTTCATTAAATCTGCATTATCATAAGTGTAATGTAAAAAACAGGTTTAAAACTTTAAAAGTAGAGTCAACTTTTCTTTGAGCACTGTTATTCAGCAATATGACTGTATTATGTGCTTATTGCAAAATCAATCTGCAACTTTATAGCTTGTGACATCCCTTGGTAATTATAGGAGAAGGCGCTACTACGCTTCATTGTTTTTTACTTAGTATTTGTTTTCTTTATTTTGGCAATATAACTATTACTACGTGGTTATCGCAAAATCAACCCGCAATTTCATAGCTTGTGCGACAGCCAGTGCTGTTCCTATTAAATTAGCTAGAGGATGGAGTATGGAGTTTTATAGTTTGTAGCGTTACTAAGTTTGTCGTCTGGCACAGTTGCCGCCCGCGGTGTGGCTGGCGGGCTTCTTCAACCCGCAGTCGTTCCTCACGGCCATCATGCAGCAGACGGCGCGCAAAAACGAGTGGCCGCTCGACAAGATGTGCCTCAACTGTGACGTCACCAAGAAGAGCCGCCAGGACTTCAAGTAAGACTTTATGAAAATTTTATAAAAACATGCTTTGATTAGTTTTTAGATTAGCGAAAAACACTGAAAGAAGGCTCAGGGCCGATTTTGATATAGAACCAAAACTGCACTGAAACAAAATAATTCTGAGAACTTATTGTGATCACTTTGTTGAACCATTATTTACTTGAGTATCAAAAATCATACCCTATTTCATCCCCTTTTAGGTTTACCTACTTAGGTGGCCTATTTGCTTTTCCCAAGTTCCGAATATCTTATTAAATATAACCAAGTAACCATTTAAGTTGTTTGGTAGTGGATTTGGTGGAGTGAACTACTACACTAGTGAAATTGAAATAACTAATGAACTGAAGAGCTCCTAGTCGCGCACAACTTTTTGCAAAGAAGGACCAATGAAAAGGGTCCTACTGGGTACTTAAATAAAAGAGTGGACTGTATTTCGATAGGGCTGGTTTAATAGCCGTTTACATGTAATGGCTAAATAATGTAATAGGTACCATCAAAAACAATACTTGTCAAAAAAACCAAGTCTCGCAACTCAGTTGTTCTACGGTAAAAAGTTGTGAGATCCATGTAATACCAAGTCCAGGCCAGGAAATCTTTAACGTTTTACATAAATATATTGACTTGGCCATCGCATGAAAACACGTGTAAATTAAATTATTTAGTGCGATGGCCAAGTCAATAATTTATGTAAAACGTTAAAGATTTCCTGGCCTGGACTTGGTATTACATGGATCTCACAACTTTTTACCGTAGAACAACTGAGTTGCGAGACTTGGTTTTTTTGACAAGTATTGTTTTTGATGGGATCTCATTTCTTTTTGTATTTTGTAGACAGCAGTTATGTATCTAGAAAACTGGACCGAAATTGAAAAATTTTACTCGACTTGGCGTTTGCACTACTGTGCCCCCAAATATTTTAGTTTTTCCTTGATTCATACACCAAACGCTACTTATATTCCAAATTTGAAGCTTCTAGGTCTGCTAGAAGTGCCTTAGAATTTTGATGATCGGTGAGTCAGTCAGTGAGTCAGTGAGTGACAAAATTAAGAAACTTTGACCCGTTATAATTCTTAAACTACTGGTTCAAATTGAATGAAATTTGAAATATACCGTGTCTTTACAAAGCCTGCATGGTTACTGAAAATTCAGTCTTCTAGTTTAATCCACAACGAAGTTACAGGGGGTCGAAAATGGCCTGAATTGCTTCGAGAAAAGGATGGTACGGCCGTGCCGCTTTTTTGCTCGACTCGACAGATAAAAAAATAGGTTTAAGTACTAAACTACGCGACGTGGTGATACAAAATGGCGATTGCGAGTTGGAGGTCCGAACGAATAGTACGTGCGATGTACAACTGGGGGCCCAAGCGAGTGTGTGGCACACTCGGCGGGCGGCGCGCTGCTCGTGGTGGCGGGATTCCTCCCGCACCGCCTCCCGTGCGTCAAAACCGATCCGCGACAGTGAACATTCAAATTTTCAAAGAATCTGTGTATTAAGCTAAGCGTCCACTTGTCGGTATCGTACGCAACGGACGCATCGTACAAAACACATCGTATCGGATGTGCGATGCGTAGTTGCGTACGATGCGGACTGGTGGACGCACTTATGAGTTTCTATACAGGGTGTTAGGTAAATGGGTATATGAGCCGACACTAGCCCATGTTAACATGGGCATATAAATGGTATGGTGAAGTCAGAAAATTGATATCTTTATTATAATTATTTAAATTTTCATACAAATCGGATATTATAAAATGTATGTTGTATGAAAATTTAAAAAAATTAAATGATGATATTTCTGACTTCACCATACCATTTATATGCCCAGGTTAACATGGGCTAGTCTCGGCTCATATACCCATTTACCTAACGCCCTGTATAAATAATACTACGATCCGTTGCGTGCGATACTCGTACGTCCGAGCGTACGATACCGACATGTGGACGCTAGCCTTTACGTTTCTTTAGTTACTTTACCGTGTCTGAGTGACTATTGAAGCTAAACAAGATTAATTTAAGATACACTTTATGTGTCCCCCAGTGCTCCACCGCGCGAGGGCGCCAACATCCACGGCTTGTACATGGAGGGCGCGCGCTGGGACACGACGGTGGGCGGCATCGTGGAGTCGCACATGATGGAGCTGTTCCCCGTCGTGCCCGTCATCTACATCAAGGCCGTCACGCAGGACAAGCAGGACACGCGCAATGTGTACGAGTGCCCCGTCTACAAGATCCGGTGAGTGACAGTTGAAACGTATTACTGGTATTACTCACTCGTGCGGCTTGTTATATTTAGGGTTTAGAAACGAATAGAAACGTTTGTGTACCACATTGGTCGTAACCAACGCGGCTTAGGTTGCTCGACTTTGGTGATTACCACACCACCACTTAGCTACAAGAACATTTTTTAGCATGTCTTTAGGTCGAAATGAAATAACAAGTCTCTTCAAGCTTGGCAATCTAATGCGTAGCTAATAGCTATACTAGCTAAGCTAACATTTTCAGATGTTTTTGTTTGGTGATAATAATCTGTAATGGAGCAACGTTTATAAAAATATATTATTTTTACTCCTTAGCATGCGTGGCCCAACCTTCGTCTGGACTTTCAATTTGAAGACCAAAGACAAACCGACTCGCTGGACTCTGGCTGGCGTGGCCCTCCTGCTTGGCGTCTAAACCCGTGCTTATAGGGCTACTTATTTATTAATTTATTTTTATTCTAGTTTTAATTTTATTACGCTGTTTTATTAGATTATTACAAACGATCAAATCAAAACGCATTCTTATTTTCAAACTTTATTTTCGATCATCTACTTACACTGCTGAGTATTTTATTCAAACATTTTCAGTGCTAACAACAAGAGACAGAATACATAAAAATAATACTTTGTGCAATATCTTAGTAACGTTCAACAGGAAGACTACACAATTTATATTAGTTTATGTCGAAGATAGATACATAATATTTAATAAAACGGTCTTGGGTATTATCTAAGGTAATCTCAACTCCACCAAACGACAGATTCATACGCCCGTATTCACAAATATTACTATGAGGTCTCACATTACGCGTGGACGCACAGGGTAACACACAAACCAATCACAGAGCTCTATTCAACGCTGTGCGTTCGATTTCCTGCTTCACTTAAGCAAGCATCGTTTATGAATACGGGCGTTAGTCTCAAAGGGCGAATCCACGAAAAGTAGTTTTAGTTGTGAGAAGTTTAAAATTGGTCAATACACTTTAGCCCTTCTGTCGATGGGAACGGGATGGAAACAACCAACCAGTTCTTTGCTTTGATTTATAGACCTTTTATACTATATTACATTTAAAAAAATAAATATATCCTGCCGCAGGACTTGCTTATGGACGGCTTCTTTTCTCTCAGTCTAATCACATATTTTATTTATAATACATATCAACTTTGTGCATACCTAGTACCTTTGTAAATTAGAAGATCTGACTAAATTACAATCACATGAATATCCATTAAGTCGATAATAATACTTCACACGTTGTTCCGTCTGGCAGTGAGTAATAATTACGTATACGTATAAGTATTTACACAGTACCTCCGAAGTAGTTGTGTATTTTAATGAATAGCCAAAATAAATATGGAACAAGTAATTTCCTGTTTGGACAGCTGCAGGTTAAAACTCCAATAAAACATTTTTTCCTCTTATAGAACCAATTATTTTCCAGGAAATTCCTACAGTTAGCCACTTCTTACACCCTTCGAGTTCACTGTAGCATTGGGTGAAGCGTTGTCATTGTCCGATGGTGGCTCGGACCCTTTAACAGTAAACGTGACGTAATACCTCTTGTTCTTGTCCAATCGCTCTGCGGGCAAGGCTATCAGTTGCTTTTCGCTGCCATGGGATACTTCTAGCGTCACGTGGGCTTTGCCAGAACCTATCGGAGGCTTCGAATTAATTTTGGGCAAGAAACCTTTGGATTTGGTGCTTGGACCTGCTGTTGCTGGCTTTGGCATTGTATGATGGTCCCATTTGTAAGGTACTGAAAAAAATTTATAAATAACTGATTTTTCATTACAAGCAAAAGAATACGAATCTTCCACTATGCAATAACCATTATGTTACGCTGTAAGAAGCTGTTTTGAAGAAATAAATTGTGTAACAGTAATAAACATGCTTTACCAAAACGATATTTATAATATTAGACAGTATTCTGTTTCAGGAAAAATGAGATCACTCACAGTAAGCTGCACATGGTATGCCAGTATACGCATGAACGGCGTGGAAACATCGATGTGTCTTGCTGGTGCAAAGACACGGGTTGTCTGGAATAGCACTCATCTTGTACAGTTCGCTTTCACCATAGTCAAACTCTATAGGCCTCTCAGGCAAATTGTCTAAGTGCTTTTTACCACTTTTTTGTAGCTTCCTCAAACTGTCATACAGAAATTTCTCGAAACTGCTAAAAGAATAATCTGGGTTGTTATAAGGGCCAAGCCCGACACTAGCTAAGCTAGATTTATTATACTCATCGATTGCTCGTTTTACGAGTACAGATTCATTTGATTTGCCAGTTCTTATTTGTAACCGTTTGAGTTCAAGTAAATGCTGAAAAATCTTTCTCTCACAGTAGTATCTGTAACAAATAAACACGTTTCATCATTGCATATAATAATATTATTATCATAGGTAGGGAACTTATCTGTGTAAAATATATTATAACAAAATCATTTACCTCCTCATATTAGTTTGGATTCTTTGGGTAACAGATCTCATGTCTACGGCTCGTTTATCGCCTGGTTTCCGCACCGGGATTCTGCTATCAGACTTCCCTGAATATCTTCCACTTGCATTTCTTTGCTGATAGTAAGCAGCAAGACGAGGACTCATAATGCGTCGTTGTAATGCCCGAGGACTAGGCTCAAAACCAGAGTCCATTAATCCGCTAGATTCGTATCCTCGTTCAGAATTTTCACTTTTTGATCTTATCGTAGTTCGACTTTTAGTGCGCCCTTTTTTACGAAATCTCTTTCTCCGACCATTTGCCTCAGATTGACTGTAGATTTCATTATCACTAACACTAGGAACTCTTCCAAATGAACCATCACGAGCAATATCTCTTTCAAAAGTATCTTTTTCATCATCTATAGAACCGTCTTCAATTTTACTAGGTTTCTTCAGAATTCCTGTAGTAACTTCTGGCGCACTTGCAATATCAGAAAGCACTTTATAGCTTTCTGTTTCATAAATGCTACTTTTTCTACTACTTGCTTGACTATCTCTGGAAGACTTTCTAGTTCGTTTGGGTGATTCTGATAATGGTAAATTTATATTATACTCCTCTGAGCCATTTTCCATCATAACTTGTTGAACTGCACGCTCTTCTGGAGGTATTTGTCCATCAATGATTGTAACAAGGCCTTTGTCTACGCTTTGACTGATTTCAGTACTACTACCAGTAGTCGAAGCATACTCTTTGCGTTTATCTTCTGAACTTGCCATGTTGCTCTCGCTGCTGTCTTTTTGTGTTTCATCAGGTGCTAAGCTATCCATTCCTGGGACTAATACATTATGATCAACATATTCTCCCATCAAATGATCCGATTGCTTGTCGGAATCTTTACTTTCAAAGATTTCATCTTTATTAGCGAACGAAACGATCGGCGAACTACTTTTTTCTTGTGATTCTGTTTGTTCAATACTTGGAGCATCCAAACTAGTTTTCAGTTCACCGGACATATCTTTACTTTGCATCAAGGCTTCATCGGGGCCAGATAATACTTGAAATGATCTCTTGCGAATTCTTTCAGACGGTGAAGTGCTCAAGGAATCACTAGTTTTACCGTCATTACCACTCAAAGGAGTATGGTCAGTATGTTTACTTGAATCTTGGGATTCTTGTTGGGATTGTTCAGTTTTTAGAGAATTTTCACCTTCTTTAGAGCCTAGTGAAGTATTTAGATTATCCTCCTCTTGTTTACTACTTTCTTTGTTATCTAACAGAGCTTCTTCTTCTTTTTTATTAACCTCTTCCTCTTTGTCCTCTACCTTTACAACAGATGATGAAGCTTCATTACCTTGTTGTGCTTGATCAATCGAAACTGCAGTTGCCTCATTAACAACAGCTTCTTTAGCTGCTGTGGTATCCCCAGATTTTTCTTCAAGTGACTTTCTTTCTTCATTTAAATCTTTATGGGTTAGTGATAAATTTGAAGTTTCTATTGAAACATTATTAGATGAATCAACAGTCACTGTAAGTTCGGAACTACCATGTTGGCTAGACTCTCTTTCCATGTGTATTTGAGCTTCAGTTACAACCATATTGGTTTTTACAGAAAGTGTATCCGTTTCAGTTTCACTTTGAGTCTTGCTCTTCATAGCTTGGCTGTCATCTTTCGTTTGTTCTTGTTTCTCATCGGTAGTGGTAGTTTCTACAGGCATTGCGGCATTATCATGTTTTTCAAGACTTGCATCGACACTTTTATACTTGACTATATTAACACTTTGCTTTTCATCGTCGTGCTCAATGTGAATAGATGTCTTTTTACCTTTACGTTTTGTACTACGCCGTTCACTTGACTCTGAACTGCTACTTTCAGAAGAACTAGACCTTCTTTTACTTCTCTTACGATGTCGTTTTTGTTTTCTTTTTTCTGAATAACTTTCCGTTCCAGATGAATTTTCTGAATCTGACTTGTTTCGACGTTGTTTAACTTTATCATGACTTCTTGATGGTTCACTCCTTGATCTACTTTTTCTAGAGCTTCGTTTGTGCTTATGTCTGCTCACTTCCTTGCCATAGCCATCGATTTCACTATCATATCCATCGCTAAAACTTTTTTGACTTTCCACAAGTTTTTTTCGACGTCCATGATGCCTGTCTGAGTATTTGTGTTCTGATTTTCTTTTAGATTTTTTTCGATCTAGAGAAGATGAATCATCCGTAGATTCACTTTCGCTTCTATCTTTAAGGTAACGTCTCTCTGCAGCAGGACTTGATAGTTCTACTACCTCGCGTTTTTCTATTCTTATTCTATCTCGAACATCAATTTTAGTACTAGTAACTCGGCGCGTGGGTAGAGCTGTTATTGCAGCACCATCTATAACAATTTGAGTATTTGCTAACTTGGAAGCGGGCATGCCTCCATGCATTTGTAAATATTTGGCCGTCGATCTATGGCCGCGCGTCGTCGCACAGTCTAAAGGTGTCAACGGTTCATTTTTGGACGACCGTGCGACCGGATTGACCTCCGCGCCGCGATCAAACAATAGCCGGCACAGGTCGGCGTTATCAGTGGCTGCCGCTATATGCAAAGGTGTGCGTCCTTCATGGTTAGTTGCGTTAACCTGTGAAGGTCTGCCGTCTAGTAGCCATTTTACTAGTTCTCTACGGCCTGAAGCTACAGCCTCGTGTAATGGTAGGTCTCCTTTTGAGTTGCGGAGCCAGAGATTTGCGCCTCGTGCTCCTGTGAAGAAAGTTTTTTTACATAAGTAATGTGTTGTTTTTTTACGAGTATAAATATAGTGTTGTATGTAAAAGAGTACCTAATATCCGCACAGTCTCGATCTGGCCCTTAGCTGCTGCCGTGTGAGCCGGGCTGCGTCCGCGCCGGTCTTGGCGATGCGCGTCAGCGCCGTGCTGCAGCAGAGCAGAGGTTGCATCCGCGTGGCCTAGCGCGGCGGCATAGTGCAGCGGCGTGCAGCCGTGCGAATCAGCCACGTCTACTCGGGCGCCGCATAGCCCTACTAGCGTCTCAAGAGCTTCAGTGTGGCCGCGAGCCGCCGCGCAGTG